GGCTCGCGCGCCGCCTCACCTCCGCCTCACCACCCGCACCGCTCGCTCGCGCACGTCCCGTCCGTCACCGAATCGACTCGCCTCCGCATCCTCTACAAGGTCCGCGAGCTGAGCGCCTCCGACCCGTCACTCTCGGAACGCTTCGTCCCGCGCCTCGAGCTGCTCGAGCTCTTCACCCAGCTCTACTTCGACAAGTACCACGCCTTGTTCCCGATCGTTCACAAGCCGACGTGGGACCCTAACACGGCGCCGAGCTTCCTCACGCTCGCGATCGCGAGCGTCGGAGCGAGGTACGCCTGGGAGAGGGTCGTCGGCGCGAGTATGCATGCGCATGCGCTGCTCGAGAGCGCTAGGAGGCTGGCGCAGATCATGGTGCGTCGCTGGCGCTGTTCAGTTGCCTTGCTCGAAGAAAAGACGAGAAACTGATGAAAGCGTGGCGCATCTTGCAGGGCGACCTCGACAACACGCTCCTGCGCACGGTCGCATGGCAGCAGACGATCCTCATCGTCCTCCAGTCCGGCATGATGAGCGGCAACAAGCGCGATCTCGAGCGCACGCAAGGTCCGTCGCTAGCCTCCCCAACTCCGCTGATTGAGACTGACTCTCTACGCCCGCAGCCTTCGCAAGCATGCCGATCACGTTCGCTCGCCGTCAAGGCTGGTTGAAGGAGCCGCAGGTCGACGAGCAGGCCGAGGAGCTGTTTCCGCTCGACGAGAGGTGGAGACGGTGGCGCGACCGCGAGGAGATTCGGAGGCTTGGCTTTGGCGCCGTCGTACGTGCACCGAACTCTCTCTGATCTCGCAGAGGCTGATTCTCTTGTGCTTGCAGACCTTCGACTGCAGCGGGACTGCGCTGTGGAACATGGACACTGCGTCGCTCTACCTCGATGCCGCCAACACGCCCTTGCCCTGCCACGATGCGCTCTGGGACGCGCCGTCGTCGGCCGCCTGGTCGTCCCTCTTCCGGCACTCGATCCTCCCTCCCGCCTCGCCCACCCTCTCGCACGCCGTCCATCTCGCCTGCTCGTTCGCCTCGCTCAGCGGCTCCGCATTGACTACCCTCTCATCCATCTCGCGCGACGCCTTTGCCCTCTCGACCGTCTTGAGCGTCCTTCACTCGCTCGGATGGGAACGCGTCCATGCCCGTGCGGTTGAGAAGACGTTCCTTACGCCTGGTTCGGGCGCGGATGCGGGTGGCAAGGCGGGTGATGGCCTCAAGAAGGAGGACGGGGAGGAGAGGATTGATGAGGTCGACGCGGCGCAGGCTGCGCTCGAGGCTGGTATCGAGTTCTTCCAGGTGCGTTGACCTGACGATTCCTCAGTTCCTGCAGGGTAGCTGACGAGTTGCGCGCCGCAGGACCGCATCCTCCTTCCGCCCGACTTGCTCGCGCGCCTCGACGACCCGGGAGCAGCGAGCGGCACGATGGCGCTCATGGTGCACCTGACGGCCCTCACGCAGCGCCTGCCCATCCGCGTCCTCCAGCCTCTCG